GCTGGAGCAGCAGGAATGGCCAGGTGATGCCAGTCAGGTGTTGTCCTTCTCCTGAGGGGCTGGAGCAGGAGGAAGGGCCAGGGGATGCCAGCCAGGCTTTGTCCCTCTCCTGAGGGTCTGAAATGGTTTGTCCTGAGGGGCTGGAGCAGCACGAGGGGACAGGGGATGTCAGCCAGGGTTTGTCCCTCTCCTTCCTGCCTGGAAGGGTTTGTCCTGAGGGCCTGGAGCAGCACGAGGGGTCAGAGAATGCCAGTCAGGTGTTGTCCTTCTCCTGAGGGGCTGAAGCAGCAGGAGGGTTCAGGGGGTGCCAGCCGGGGGTTTGTCCCTCTCCTTCCTGCCTGGAAGGGTTTATCCTGAGGAACTGGACTGTGAGGAAAGGCCAGGGGATGCCAGAGGGGGTTTGTCCCTCTCCTGAGGGCCTGGAGCAGCAGGAGGGGCCGGGGGGTGCCAGCCAGTCCCTGTTATCCCGGTTTGTCCCTGTCCCTGGTGCCTGAAAGGGTCTCTCCCCGCAGGACAGAGGCGGTGGAGAAGGCGTCCATGCTGAGGACAAGAGCCATGAGGGAGAAGGAGGAGCAGAGGGAGATGAGGAAGTACAACTACACCCTGCTCCGGGTGCGCTTTCCCGACGGATACATCCTCCAAGGTAAGGAAAAGGCTCCTCACCCTTTCTTCGGGCACCTCCTGAGGGTGCCTGTGGGATAAAAAACTGAATATTAACACAGCTCGTGGAATAAAACACCAAACCAGAGCGGGATGTTTCTCCAAGAATTCCCATCTCCATCACCTGCTCAGGGTTGGGATTTTAGGGTGGAAAGAATCCCAAAGCATCATTCATTAAAAAGCCTCCTCTTCCCAAAACCTCTGGGAACAAGCTGGACTCATTAGACCAGTGTGTCACAGGAACCAGCACGAGGTTGTACAACAGCACAAATCCTCTTCCAATCTTCCAGCAGAACTCTGGAAATCACTTCAGGCTTTCCCAGCTCTTTGTCACAGCCTGGCAGGGGCTTGCAATGATTGAATAACTTCCTCTGGGCACTCTGCTTTGAGGCCTTTCCAGTTCAGTCAGCCTGGCTGTGTGGCACTGAAGTAGTTGAGAAAGTCAGAGCCCCACGAAAGGGGCCACCAAAAGGTTGGATTTTTGGGAAAGGCCGGACTCCCTCACCTCGTTTTTCTCATGGCAGGGACTTTTTATGCCCGGGAAGCAGTGTCTGTGCTCTACAGCTTTGTGAGGGAAGCACTCAGAGATGACTGGCTGCCCTTTGAGCTCCTGGGACCTGGAGGGGTCAAACTGACTGATGAGAACTTGGCCTTCAATGAGTGTGGGCTGGTGAGTGAAAAAAACACTGAGCTGGTGCCTTCCCCAGGGTCCTGAGGTGTTCAGAGTTCCCCCCTAAGCTTGTTCCAAAATCCCTGAGCTGCTTTTAGAGGGAACTTCAGCCCCTTCCATCACAGTCTCGGAGCCTGGGGGGAAGTTTCTGTGTCTTCAGCTTTCAGAGCCCCAAGTTGTGCTCTGGCCCCTCATTTTAAGCACAAGCAAACAAGAAACTGCTTGGAGGCTTCAAAGTCTGGAGGGAACTGCAGGGATCTCCCTCCTGGAGCAAAGGCAGCTGCAGGAGTTGCCAGCAGCTCTGCCAGAGGCTGAGCATCCACCCTGGGAAAAGAGGGAAGGCAGCACAGGCAAGGCCAGGGTGTGAACGGAAAGCCCAGAGCAGCGTCTCCCAGAAGGAGCTGCTCACAGAAATCCACCCTTGTCCTTTTTAGCTGAAGTTTTCCCAGCTCTGGGAATGTACACAGAGTGTTACAAGCCCAGGGAAACTGTGGATGCTCCATCCCTGGAAGTGGCCAAGGTCAGGCTGGAGCAAGCTGGGACAGCAGAAGGTGTCCCTGCCCACGGTGGGGGGGTGGAAGAAGCTGAGCTTTAAGGTGCCTTCCAGCCTGAAGTATTCCATGATTTTGTGGCTCCCTAACGTGCCTCTCCCGTGGCAGGTGCCCTCGGCCCTCCTGAGCCTGTGCTGGGACGCAGCAGTCATGGCAGACATCGAGGCCGCGGCAGAGGAGCAGCCCCGGAGCCCCCTGAGGCCGGAGCTCCTGGCCAGGGTGCAGACCCTCCCCTGAAATAAAGGGCAGTGGGGTCAGTGCTGCTGGTTTTAGCCTCTTCCCTCCCTTTCCCACCAGCTGGGTGAGCTCAGGGGGGGCTGTGGGGGGGCTGTGCAGAGGGGCAGCCCCGGCTCTGTCCCTCCCTCGGGGGGTCTCACCCAGCGAGGCACTTCCTGCACTGCTCCCAGGGGTGTCAGCACCACGTTCCAGGAGGGTGTTCCCGAGGCAGTGGGGGAGCAGGGATTAGTGCTGCTAGGCTGGATCACCCCCCTGAGCCCGGGGCTGGGGCTGGCTTTAGGACTCAGCTTCCCCTCTGGCTTCCGCGTGCACTGTAACTCCTGCGGGAGAGAGCACGTTGGGGGAAGGTGACACTTAGTCTGATTAAATGGAATTATTTAAAGACTCAGCTCTGCTCCAGGTTATTTGACTGCATTGTCATGGGGTTGGAATGCCCAGCCAGGCAGGGCTGGCACTGGTGTTACTGGGGCAGCCTGACCCCCTTTTCCCTGACACCAGTGCCAGCTGCTGGTGGTGCCCAGTGGGGCCGTGAACACCCTCAGCCTGCACCCAACCCTTCCAGGGACTAATGAACAACCCACAAATCACACAAAACTAAAGTTTGCTCCCTCTCCCATCAAGTTTGATGCCAGTTTAATCCTTTATACCTCACTCTTCGTGTTTTTCCGTGGGCCAGAGACGAGCTCTGATGTAAACAGGGACTGATAATCTGTAATTAATTCCAAAATAAAAGCAACAAGATGCTTTTTCCCTCCCCCCCCCCCTTCCCGAATGTGCTGCAAGTAAAACCACAAACAGGATGGTACAAGAGCATAAATTCATATATAATTGTACATCATTTATACCCAAGGCCACGCTGTACAACATTATGAACAGTCATCATTCCCCCAGTGGCATCACAATAAGCTTATCCCAAAAATCCCTCAGCTACTTTCAGAGATAATTTAAGATACCTTCCATTACAAAGAAGTATCAAAATTTCAATAATGCTTTATTAAGGACAGATTAATATGCAGTTTGTTGTTTGTTGTTTTTTTTAAAAAAAGAACCAAGCTAAAAAAAGCTAGAACTAAAAAAAAAAAAAAAAAAAAAATAAAAATTTAAGCTTCCATCTGGGCTGAAGCAGAACAAAGTGCTGTCTTCTCTTTACAAGAAATGTGGAATACTTTCAAGTATCTTGGGCGAAGATACACAGGGTTTTAAAGTTTTCTAATCCATTCTACATACATACAGAGGAGTTAGTAGGCGGTTTTAAGTCTCAAATTGTATTAGATGGGCTGACCCTGCTGGTGTCCTGGTGAGCAGCTCTTGTACCACTGCATTCTGAAGCTGGAGAGTCTGCAAAGGACAAAACATGTTGGGGTTTGTTGTTAAATATCCTCATGAATCCAGCAGAATTTATCCCCTCTCTGTTTTGTCTCAGCTTCCTGGGTCTGTTGTGAGTCCCCTCCTTGCCCTTCCTTTCAAAACTGGTTTGAAATTTAATATTTATTTATTTCAGATTTAATATCACCAATCCAGAATAAAATAATAAATAATAAAATCACTCCAACCATAAAAAAAAAAGGGGATTTTCCTAATCTTTTCAGTGCCTTGAGCTGAACAAACAGCTGAAACAGCTGCATTTTGTGTCCCCAGAGCCTGAGGGAGGGAAGGTGCTGAGTGGCACCTCCAGAACAAGGGGTGACAAACCCGAGGCCAGGGTTTCATCTCTCAGAGCCTGGTAATCAGGCAAAAGCAGCTTAGAGATTAAAGCCAGGCTGCTTGTCAGGCAGTCCCAGCGTGGCTTTTTTTGGGGAGGTGAGAGGATGGAGCAGCAGCTCCAAAGAGAAAGGAGAGCCCGGATCTGCCCGGGGTGGGTCGGACCCTACGGAATTCACGTGCAGAGCCTTTATCTGGAGGAGCTGCCCGACACAAACCCTGCTGGGCTGAACTCAGGGGTGCTGGGAGAGCTCTTGTGGGAGAGCAGCAGGGAAGGAGCTCTTCTGGGAGAGCAGCAGGGAAGGAGCTCTTCTGGGAGAGCAGCAGGGAAGGAGCTGCGAGGTTCTGAAGCCCCGTCACGTGCCCGGTGTCGACTCAAAACCTCCCCGAGATCAAAGGAGCTGCTCCACATCCTCATCCCACCTCCTGCACGGATCCACTGCACCACTGGGGCTTTGAAGCCAGTTTTTCCAAGGGATAACTGGGACACAGATAACCAGGAAACTGCTGGGATTTGAGGGGCAGGGCAGCAGATCCCAGCTTGGCTGTTGTTCCTTCAGCACAACCTCGTTGTTCCTCACAACCCGCACCTTGGAAGGGCTCTGAGCACCCCGGGGAGCAGCAACATTCCCCAGTAATGAGTGGATCTGCTGGTGCAAACCCTTCATGTTCACTCTTCTCCTCCCAGAAACAAACAGGTAACGCTGGCAGCCGAGTGCCAGTCACAAGTGGTTTGTGCTATTTAGGGAGGAGGAGGGAGGAGGAGGAGGAGGAGGGAAAGAAAAGGCAGGAGCAGGTTAGAGAAGACCAGAAATAGCAAAGAAGCATCCAGAAAAAAAATGATAACAAGCAGAGAAGTGTTTGGAATAAAAGATGGAGAGAGAGAAAAGCTCAAGGGATGGTGAAAAAGGGGCAGACCCCCCCCCCCAGTTGAGGTGCACACTGTCCCTGCTCAGCCAGGGCACTGCTGTCCCTTCACATCCCCACCTTTTGCTGGCTGTACATCCACAATCATGCAGTCATCATCTTCCTCATCCTCCTCGGTGTCTGCCTGGAATCCATCCATCTCCACAGCTTCAGCCTGGAGGGGGAGAACAGGCAGCAGGTGTGTGACAGCACGGGGAGGGTGACACGGGGGGGGGGCACGTTTTGAGGGAAAGGGGGGAAAAACAAAAATACAAAAACAAATCAGCAATTCCCAGCTCCCCCAGGCACTGACTGGGGCCAAAAGGCCTCACCTGCAGTGGCACAAACGGTGGGAACTGTGCCAAGAGCTCCTGCTCCAGGATTTTTCCCCTCTTGCACAACAAGAGCAGGGTTGGCTCCAGCCTCAGGGGGGATCTGACTCTGGGTTTTGTTGGATTTTGGGAAGGGAAATCTCACCCCCCCCCGAGCCTCAGGGGGGATCTGACTCTGGGTTTAGTTGGATCTTGGGAAGGGAAATCTCTTTCCCCCCCCCCCCCCAATTATTTTTGTACAATCACAGAATCCTTTAGGTTGGAAAAGATCTCCACGATCCTCGAGTCCAACCACGTCCCCAAGAGCCACATCCACAGGGCTGGTAAATCCCTGCAGGGATGGGACTCCCAGGCCTTGAAAATCCCTGTCCATGGAGAAATATTCCCTAATATCCAACCTAAACCTCCCCTTGAGGTCATTTCCCCTTGTCCTGTCCCTTGTCCCCGGGGAGCAGAGCCCACCCTGGCTCCCCCCTCCTGTCAGGGAGTGAGAAGGTCCCCCCAGAGCCTCCTTTTTCCCCCACTTTTGGGTGTTTTTTTCTTCCTCCTGAAGGTGGAAAACGACTTTTTGTGACCTCCCCCTGGCTCCTCTTTGTCAATCAGCTTTTATCCAGGGTGAGATTCTTCCTTCCCTGCCCAGGTTTTTTTCTGCCACGGAAAAAAAAGCCCCAAAAACTCCCTTATTTTGAGGGGAGAAACCCCCCACGAGGAGTGGCACAAACTGAAGCTGCCCAGCTGTGGGAGGGCTCGTTGGGGGCTTTTTTTTTTATTATTTTTTTACCCTTCAGCTGGAACTGGGGAATGAAAACCCTGCTCCCCCATCCCCAACAGGCTGTTCCAAGGCCAGGAATTCCCAGTTTACACCTTTCAGTTCCCGGATTAAGGCACTGCCCACTCCAACCCCCACTTCTCCTCTCTCTCACCTTGACTTACACAAGTCCTGCTCTGAGCCTGGGGGCAGTGCCAGGGGAGGGAATCTGGAGCTGTGCCCTCCCCCAGGCTCTCCCTAAGCTTCCAACAGGTAGGATTTGGGCTCTTAATCCCACAGCAGGGCTGAGCTGGGCATCCTGAAAGGCTTTTTGGGACTGTGACACCTTTGCACCTCGGCAGCACAGCTTGAAGGAGCTTTGAAACCTTCAGGCTGGTGATGTAATTCTCCTCCAAGCCTTTGTTTTGCTCTCCCTGCTCCTGTTCCGAGCTGAATTTCCAGTGGGTGCCAAGCAGAGACTTTTATCTCCCTGCCTTTATTTAGTGCAGCAGAATAATAAAAAAAAAAAAAACAAGAAAAAAACCACCAAGCAGATGGAGTTTGGGGGCTGAACAGCTTCTCACAAGTCTCTGATCTCCATCAGTACCTGAACGCTGAGCTTTTGCAGTGGAAGAGCCAAAAAAAAAAAAAGCCAAGAATAGACTGGGAAGGAAAAGCATCAAAAGCATCCAAAGCCTCCTCTGTGGTCCAAGGCAGGGGGTGGAATGAGATGAGCCTGAAGGTCCCTCCCAACCCAAACTATTCCTGGATTCTTCCCTGACCTGGTGCACAGGACAGGAGGAATAAATGGAGCTGGAGAGGGACTGTTTCCAAGGGCCTGGAGTGCCAGGACAGCAGGGAATGGCTTCAAACTGCCAGAGGGCAGGGTTAGGTGGGATTTTGGGAAGGAATTCCTGCCTGGGAAGGTGGGGAGGGGCTGGGATGGAATTCCCAGAGAAGCTGTGGCTGCCCCAGCCCTGGAAGTGTCCAAGGCCAGGTTGGAGAAGGGAAGGCTCCAGGGAGGCCTGAGAGCCCCTTCCAGGGCCTAAAGGGGCTCCAGGAGAGCTGGAGAGGGACTTGGGACAAGGGCTGGAGGGACAGGACACAGGGAATGGCTTCAAAGTGAAAGAGGGGACATTTAGATGGGATATTGGGCAGGAATTCCTGGCTGTGAGGGTGGGGAGGCCCTGGCACAGGTTGGGCAGAGCAGCTGTGGCTGCCCCATCCCTGGAAATGTCCAAGCCCAGTTTGGAGCACCCTGGGATAGTGGGAGGTGTCCCTTCCCTATTGGAATGGTTTGGGTTGTTGTTCCACGGCTCCATGACCACATTCCTCAGCCATCCCTTGGGATGATTAAGCTCCAACACCACCTGTGGTCACCCTGAAAAGCAGGAGAAGCAACAACAGGAAAACCACAGCCAAGCTCCCCAGCAGCACCACCAGCAATTCCAGCTCCTTCTGTCCCTCTGAATTACTGGATTTTTAACCCAGCTCCTGCAATTCCAGCTCCTTCTGCCCCTCTGAATTATTGGATTTTTAACCCAGCTCCTGCAATTCCAGCTTTCTGTGTGTTGGGATGAGCTGGACACTCCACAGGCTGGAGTTGGGAGCTCATTTAACCAGTGCCCAGCCCGGGCTGTGCCTCTGGCACACAAAAACCTGCCACAAATCACTCCCAGCTGGAAAACCAAGGCCAGGCAG